AAAGGCCTTTTTATTCTTAGGTTACTGGGTATCCTAGTTGTACACCTCGAACCAGAAGTCCTGCAGTGTTGTAGCATGATCAACTACGGCAAGTCCCCGCAACTCCAGACTCCAGAAGCCGAAACCCTTAAGCGGTTTAGGGTTTAGAGTTGAGCATTTAGGGTTTAGGGTTTAGGGTTTTGTAGGAGCCTGAATATTTATCCATACTGTTCAGTAGGGTTTCTTATGATATCTAAAGTTTTAAGATACTCCAAAACACTCTTCTAATTTGTTGTTAAGGCCCCCATAGTAAGCTCTCATAGCTCCACTCGAAGTGCCAGGTCATCGCCGGAGTTTACACGAAGCAGCGTGACGGCTTCAAGCGCCATTTGGATGAGCATTAGGGCGGAGAGGGGGCTGGGGAGGGGGCTACTTAAATGATCATAATAACTAGGGTTACAATTAGGGTAACTATACTTCTAATTACTTATAACCCCAATTAAGGTATAAGCTTACTTACTAAGTCCCATGATCCTCCAAGTAGAGTGTTTAGTGTGAAAGATGCAGGGGCTATAGTGTATCGATGTGTAGTAGATGGTCGTTGCCTATCCATCTACCTACCTATCCATCCATCTGTCTGTCATATATATATATATATATGTGTATACAGAGAGGCGAGAGAGACGAGAGAGAGAGAGAGAGAGAGAGAGAGAGAAAGAGTGGTCTATGCATACAAGCTTCGGAAGTCTACAGACCCAATTCTTGAAGGCACTTTTGGGCATTGGCCTGCCTTGTGTTAGGGTTTAGGGGAATGTCTACAGCCAGGGAAAGCCCTCCCGGCCAGTGCGCAAATTCATGAGGACCGCAGGCCCTGGACCCGAAAAGTATACACTTTGGCCTTAAAGTACTCCCTATATAGGTACATTGGGCCCAAAGTATATACTACTTGGGTCCATGGACCGTTCCATGGAGGTTTCTTGAATTTTCGACTGATTGAAGAAGCCTCCTGAAAAGGGAAGTCACGAGTTTCTCCGCTTACATCCGGAAGGCTCTACCCCAAAACCTGAACCCAAGCAACAAATCACTCTTCGGCTCTGGTTTTTCTTATCTGTAGACCTGAGCGATGTTCAGATATTTTGCTCGCTGTCCTGTCTTTCTGAGGTGAGCAGGGCAAGCCGCTCAAACTCCGCCGTGTGGTGCGTGAGAAAGGCCATGGACAAACCGTGGAGTTTGAGGATTAATGTAGGCGCCTTAATACTCAGAACAGGGTTTCGGGGGTTCCTTATTATCTTTACAGTCATTAATATACACCCCGATTCCAATTATTAAGGACCTATAATAAGGCTTTTAAATCCCTAGGTCCGCAAAACTGTAAACTTTGAGGCCGAAAGCCGTAAATCCCTGACTTAACCCTGAACCAAAATCCCGAATTGTGTACCCTGCGTCGAAGCGGTGAATGCCAAACGCTTCCCCTGAAGCTCGCAATACTAAATCCAAACCATCCCGCGACCGCAGAGTCTGCACATAGCGGATTGAAACCTAACCCCATTCATTCGAAGCTTCATCTTTATGTGCCGGCTTTGGGATCCTATTCAGCGTGCATGGGAGTTCCAGAGAAGTAGCCTACTAAACTAGCTTAGGTCTTAGGGGTACTTAGAAATAATTTTCAGTTTTTGGTTATTATAAACCTTTAAGAAACAGCTAAAATTATAATTTTTGCTAGGGTTCTAAGTTCAGTATAGAGGTTACAGGTTTAACATGGAGGCCTTTTGTCTGAGTCATTTACCATAAACGGCACCAAACCCTGAACCGGCAAAGGTTGGGGGACTTGAGTCCTCTGAAACCATGTAATAGCCCTTAAATCGTCCCGATTTTCCGTGCCGCTCCGGAGGTTTCCTGTTGCAGATTTGAAGCTTCATACCCACAAAAGCCCTGAAGCCTAGCAGTGTGTTTGGTTTTGTGTTTGGTTTAGGGGTTTGGGTTTAGGACTTTAGGAGTTTAGGGGTTTAGTGGTTTAGCGTTTAGGGTTAAACTCTCGGTTTGGCTTGGGGAAGTAATGCCCTGCCCCAGGTGATACGAAGCTGAGATCCATGGACATCGTCTGGAAAGGGCTCCCTCCAGAGTACAAGCAGGCCTCGTCGAATCGATCACGCTTGAACCTTGTGGACGCATGCAAAAGATTCGACACTCCACCATAGTCCGCAAATCCCTACCCCCAACAGTCCCGTCGACCCAACCCAGACCGTTTCGGTCTGTGGCAGTGCGGCAGGGTACCCTGATGCAGGACACTTTGTTGGATGTGCACAAGTGCTGTCGGGGGTTTGCGGTTTAGGTTTGCGTTTCGCGCTTACAAGGGTTGATAGGTATTCAATTTCAAGTACCAGAGACAGACATGACAATCAGTTCAGCCCCAAAGCCCAAAGCAACATCTCAAAGCCCCAAATCCCCTAAATCCAAAACGGTAGCAGATACAGCAAGCCCTGGACCCAAAACCCCCAACCCTTGAAGTACTCCTATTTTAAAGGAAACCCTTCACAATTCTAATCCTTAGCTGTATCCGAGAGGCCAGAGCCATGTGGAAGATCGAGCACTGTGAGGTGCAGGGACGTTCGGGGTGCTCCGGGCCACAGGGTCTATAGGGTTTAGTACAGGAGCATTCGGGGTTTTGGTGGTATATCACAGCAAACCCAGAACCCTAAACCTGAACCTAAACTATCTAAGTGTATAAGGGCTATAAGGTTTGTTAATACAGGAGCTTTGCGGTTTTGGTGGTATATCACAGTAAACCAGAAAACCCTAAATCTAAACATAAGCCATCCAAGTATATAGTATACAAGGACTACAAGGGGGTGCCATCATGAATGAGTCCGACGCCTCACTGAGGGTTTAGGGCCCCCAAAGTCTGAACCCGATATCCGGGTTTTGGGCATTAGGGGTTCGATTTCGGCGCTCGGGGGCTTAGGATTTTGGGGGGTTCAGAACAGATTTTCCGGACCAAAACAGGTCTGACCCCTACAGTCCCTAACTTTTTATCATCTCCGAAGCTTGAAACAGTGCAAGGGTTTCGGGTTTAGGGGTTCAGGGGTTTAGGGTTGAGGGGTTTAGCAGCTCAGGGTTCAGGGTGTAGAGTGTAGGGCTAGTGTAGGGCTTTAGAGTGTAGAGGTTTTGGGGCTTAGGGGCTATGTGTTTAGAGTTTAGGGGTTTAGGGTTTATAGGTACTCCCTTGACGGCATGTGGGTGGTGGCCACAGGAACATGGCCTTTCCAGAACATGATGGGTATTGGTAGTGTATAAAAGGAACACATTTGGAAGTCTTTATACTCAGACCCGGGCATCTAGTCTAGATTATATTAGGCTTCTTATCTCTCTGCGGAGTCTCTTGCTCAGGTTGTGAGAGGTGCAGGCAAGTCCACAGACTGTCACAATGCTGACTCCACGTGGGATGTTGTCACGGCTCGCGTTGCCAAGGCACCCGTGTTGCCGAGTTGCTGATTCTCTGCTTCCGCATTGGAAGCAAAACTCCAGCTACTTGCAGTTTTGCCAAACCAAGGTTAATCTGATCAACCACCTTCAATGCCTCATGACATTTCTTCCCCTGAGATGCTGATGACATCTTTCTAGCATAGGTAGAGGACTGCGTGTCCAGCCTGCGATCGAGAATCCAGCGCCAATCCGCGGCACTTTACCAAACCCTAATCCTGATTCTTAAACCCCAAACCCATACGCGTCAGCTTCCACTTCGCAGAGGTTCCCTCAATTGTAATCCCGATGCAAACCTAACACAGGGGCCTGACTCGGCCTGTAGAATTACCTATACGACATTGGGGGATTCCTTACTATAATTATAGTACACTGGGCCCCGAAACCTCTATTCTAATTATTAAGGCCCCCTATATTTTCGAACCCTACTATAGATCCCTCACAGAACCCTTTGAAAGGCAACCCTTAAAGGGTACATCATATCTCCCGCCGCCCCAAAGTCCAGAAGCCTCCTGAAAACCGACAAGCCGGAGGCAGATGAGTTCGATGCCCCACTTGCCGTGCTTCTGACCACGGCCACGGATCCATGCCTGGTCTCCCAGTGGTTTTTTGATCGGAGGCCAAAAGGGGTTTCAGCCTATGGGGGTTTAGTAGGGACTATAGGGTTCTCACAATAGGGTTCATATTAAGGAATCCCTACCAAAAGTATCTTAAACCCCCTTTTTGGCCTCCCATCAGTTTATGGTTTAGGGTTGCTCCAAAGGGACGCAGAAGAACATGATTTTGGAACCCTGGATAATGAGTCACAGGGTGCATCGGGGTCATAGTATACCGTACCCCCCAAGACCCCATTCTAGTTGTCAAGGCTCCGTAGCAGAATCGGTTCAACTCTCTGTTATGGCCCGAAAGATGCACTTCGGCCCGATTTGCGGCCAAAGCCAAGACTCGCAACAATTAGCAATTATAACATCTTGTAGTCCAAACAGTGCCCCCAACACAACCCTATCGCAAACATTCATAAGCGTCCCATACATTCATCCCGCATGGGGTCTTTATTGCGGATCTTTATATGGGAGTTTCCGAAAATTAGGGGTGCCGTAATTTGGGGTCGTTACAATAAGGATCCTACTGTTTAGGGGTAGTACATTAGGGTCCCCTATTTTCGGAAACCCCCTAAACCCTTATAGAGCCCTTTAAAGGAACCCTTCTAGTAACCCTTTCAAGGAACCCTATTAGGGTCGCCAATTTTCGGAAACCGCCGGAGGGATCTTTGCGGCTGCGAGACCAGGGTTTCTTAATGTGGTTCCCAGAAAGCCGAATACCCCTTACTTAAGGAATATGGCTTAAATTATCTAGGGCTTCATATTCCTTAATGAAGGAATATGGCTTAAATTATATAGGGCTCCATATTAAGATTTAAGCTATATTCCTTAATTAAGGGGTATTGGGCTCTCTGGGTTAGTTGGCCAATTGGGGCTCTGGGTTTGGGGAGACTGATGATGGTGTCTTGGGCTTGGGTTTTTGATTTTGGGGGTTTAGGGTCTTCTGCGCGCAGCCTCTGAGGCGGCGGCCGCGTTCCATGGTGGTGGCTTTCTTGAATTAAGCAGGCTTAGCATTTCTCGTCTTTGCGAGGTGGTTGTTTCGGGCAATGGGAACATCCGGAGCGTTTGAACGCTAAACGTAAGGTTCTTGTGAGAGCCGCTATAAACTGCCATGTGGGTGGTTGTCAAAATTATGGTCCCTTTTGGGGGGTCCTTATTATGATGATACGGCACCTAATATTTAGGGTACCCAGAAAAGGGCGATATGACAACTACCCATGTCGCTACATAGGTTTTACTTCAAAACATACTGTGTTCCTCCGAGCCTGTCAGGCCTGCTTCAGCGGCAGGCCATGACAGCGCTTCATAGCTGAGGCTAGGCTAATTTGCTTTGCCATAGTTGGGCAACATTTTACATCTTTATGGGTACTTAAGCCAGAAAAGGAATAACAATGTACATGTCTAATCCTACATGAATTAGTTTGTTGGACCCCAAGCCGTGACCGGGTGCAAGGCAGCCGGGATGAAGCAGAAGTTAGGGGTCGGTATAATTCGAATTAATTAATTTCTACTCTGATAGCCCTTCCAAAGCTAAGTACATGTATAACATTCTCCCCCGAAGGCCCTAGTGTAGTTCAGTCCCCTATGTAAAACTCTAGAATGGAAGCTCTTTGCTGCGAGTACGTCGAAGAGAGAGGGCCCTCGACGGCCGTTCTGAAGACCCGAAGCCCGAAAGCCTTCCAAACCTGGTTTAATTGAAGGGTCCCCCCCGACCAAAAAAAAAATTCTATTTAATATGGAACCGGTGACGCCGGACAGGGGTCAGGGGTCTGAGTGGCAGGGAATTGGGAGGTGCCGGGGTTTGGGGGCTGGCTTGGGTGCAGGGTCTGCGGTTCTGCGCGAATGCGCGGTCGGGGGTCGGGGGGGGTCTGGGGATCACCAAATGCTGGAAACCAAGCCCCGATCAGTCCAAGATTACTACCAAGACTAAAAACCCTTCATTTTGAACACTTTTGCCTCCGTAACCTACACTCCCACACTCCCACCCACAATCGACCACGTCTGAAGCTTGGTGCGGTACAATAATAGTACAGTAGTACAATAGTAGTACAGTAGAAATAATACAGTAGTAGTACAATAGTAGTACAATAATAGTGCAGTAGTTCAGGAGTAATACAACAGTAGTACAGTGGTAGTACAACAATAGTACAGTAGTACAATAGTAGCACAATAGTAGTACAGTAGTAGTACAGTAGTAGTACGATAATAGTACCGTAGTACAATAGTAGTACAGTAGTAGTACAATAGTAGTGCAGTAGTACAATAGTAATACAAAAGTAGTACAGTGGTAGTACAATAGTACAGTAGTAGTACAATAATAGTACAGTAGTACAATAGTAGCACAATAGTAGTACAGTAGTAGTACAGTAGTAGTACAGTAGTAGTACAATACTAGTGCATTAGTACAATAGTAAAACAACAGTACAGTGGTAGTACAGTAGTAGTACAGTAGTAGTACGATTATAGTACAGTAATACGATAGTAGTACAGTAATAGTACAGTAGTAGTACAATAGTAGTACAATAGTAAAACAACAGTACAGTGGTAGTACAACAGTAGTACAGTAGTACAGTAGTAATACAGTAATAGTACAGAAAATAAAGCCAGTGAGCACATTCCCCCAATAAACAAAGCATAAAGCCAGCGCCTGAAACCCTAAACCCTGAACCCTGAACCCTAAACCCTAACAAACCCTAAATCCTAACGAATCCTAAACTCCTAAACCTAACAAACCCTAAACCCTAAGCCCTAAACCCTTCCCAAACAAAGGTCGGTCCAGATTGGACCCAAAATTGAGTTTTTTATACAAGCTGTACTACTGGAGAGGCCTTTGTCGAGCAAAGGTCCAATTCCCAATTCGGCGGTTCACCCTAGCAGCCCCCCCAATAAGCAAGGCATACAGCAGCAGTACAATAGTACAATAGTAGTACAGTAGTAGTACAGTAATAGTACAGAGTCTCATTCCTGACGCCCCAATATGCGAAACAATTCTGCAAGAGATTTTCGGGCTTCAGGGCCAGGGTTTTAGGGTTGGGTGGGGGTTTGGGTGGGGGTTTAGGTCGCGGCTGCCTTATAAGATTGACCATCAGCAAATAGCACAGCCCCGCCACCAAAAAGTCACCCCAGCCAAAAACAAAACGCATTAATTAGAACACCCAAATCTTTGGTAAGATTCGGAATTAGCCCCGGAGCCGACGCATTAAAGAGGCCTATATTCCTAAACCGACCCCCACATTAAAGGGTTGATGGAGTATAGGGCTTGGGTGTTTGGGCTTAGGGTTTAGGGTTTAATAGGCTTTAGGGTTGTGGGGCCGAATTCCAGACTGTTCAAGTCGTACATAATGAGTAGCGGACCTCGACATCTTACGGACCAAAGCTTCAGCTCTAAATGGTCGGGATTTCTGGTTTCTGGGGCCTAGGTGTTTCTATATCTTCGGGGATCGCGGTGCATGTTTCCCATGCTTTTTCTGCAAGCGCAGGCTCAGCGGTAGCCAGCAAACAGTCATGACATGGAGCTAGGACCAGATGGATCCTGTCCTGAAATCCTTCGTGCTGGCTAGTCGAGTGCTGATCTCCTAGCGCTGCACGGCAATGAGAAGGCAGAGCAGCGCCGGTTGGCAGGGAGGCGGATGCAAGAAAGCATCGTTGCCACCGACCGCGCAGCTCTTGGAGTGCCCCACAACATGAGAAAAAGATGCAAGCGGCACGATGGGCCGGCATGATAGATATCATGCTGAAGATGGCGCGGAGGGAGAGAGATGGAGAGAGGGAGAGAGGGAGACAGGGAGAGGTAGAGCGCGCAACAAGGTTGTACGTTGAAAAACAACTTTCATCAGACCCGGGACGATGTGTTTTGCGGCACGGCTCCACCAGTTCGAGGACCAAGACGAAGAGGAATCATCATCGTTGCCACGTAGTAGTTGTATAAGCAGCAACAGCAAAAGCAATATGAGTAGGAGGAGAACAGGACAGAATTAGAAGGAGACGTACTGGTAGGCGTTGCAGATAGACGTCGTGAGCGTCACCGTCGCCAGAGCCAGCAGTATCAATAAGCATCGGTCCGGTAGTGATGTTGGTAGGGAAGTTGCCGGCTTGTGGTTTTTGTGTACATTTGGAAGTTTCTGTTCCCCGTTTTGTGTTTGCGGGCGCGACGGCTTTAATCTTGGATCTGAACTGTCCCTACTAAACCCTAAATTGGCCCGTAACCCTATAGTATGCCTGCCAAGGCCTTTCAGCATGAAACCTGGAGCCAGAGTCCCCCCCCCCTTAAGACCCGAAGCCCAAGACCAAAACCCTAAGCCCTGTAGATCCCTTAAAGGAACCCCTATAGATCCCTTTAAAGAATCTGAGGATTTGCCATGCTGACGGCCGCTTCCGACCTGACCCAGCGCCGCGATTGTACTTTTGGGCTCGGAACACATATATCAAAGGGGAAAAGGAGGGACCCTTAATGGGGATCCCTACCCTATAATGGGCTATATAATGGGTATATAGTAGCTATATTAAGGGTTTTTAGGGGTCCTTATTAAGGGTCCCTCCTTTTACCCTTGGACATATGTTCGGGCTGAGGGGTACAATTAGAGTATATGTCTACCTGGATCCATAGCATAGTCTTGGCCCCAGATCATACACGCTCCGTGCAACAACGGGGTTCTTGGACCTCTTGGTATCTATCTAGGGGTCCTGGCAATGAGTATCCTCCTATTGACTATCTAAGTTTCTATATCAGCGTCCCTGAACAAGGATTTTGCTTGATATGGTTCCTTGCAGAAAGGATAGCTTTTTCAGATTGAATGCAGGGGTTTCTGAAACTGCCAGATGGTGCCAGGTTGATCCTTAAAACAGAAAGGGCATGAGGTAGCCCAAAAATTTCGAGCCCTACCCCGAAGTTATCTAACCTAAGAAACTGTCCTACAGCCCAAAAATATTAAGATCCATAAAAAGAGCCGCGATAAAGACCCAGGGTGTCTTAACCAGGTTCCTCCATCTTAACCCCAAGCCCCTAAACCTCTAAACTCTCAACCTTGATGAACAAATAACCAGGGGCCACACAAAGAGGGCTGTCGGTCTGCAGAGCCACACGCGGGTAATTAAGGTCCCTTTTCCGGGTTCCTGAAAGGAACTTATAGTGTTTTTGTTTGTGGTGGGCTCTGGTTGTTTGGGTTTGAGGTTTCAGTGGCGTCGGATATGGAGAACAGTGTATCGGCCCGCTTTTAACACGACAGAATCCATCTGCAAAATCTTGGGGATGCATTCAGAAGAGGAAGACTTCAATTTTTGGCCCGGCAGGTCTTGATCAGCGGGCCTGACTGCCATGCCGATAAGCCCACACAACCCAAACCAGCACACCCTGAACCCACAACTCCGCGAGCACTACACTCCTAAGCAATGAAAGATGCTCTGCGAGGCACTGAAGGTCCAAATTGAGTCAGTGACAGACGATGAGGCCCCGCAATTGGTCTCGGTTTCCTCAAGGTGTAGTACTCGTGTCGCACCTCTAGACAGGATGGTTAAATTATTCATGCAGACATGCATGAGTGCGTGTATGTGTACATACATACGCACTTCCCTTGCACAGCATTAATTAAACGTCACTACATAGCAGCCGTACATAACGCCGCAAAACGTCACATAGCCTAACAGGTCTAACACTATATAACAACACATAACACTGATTTGCAATAGATAACACCACGTAGCATTGCATAACATTATGGTGGGACACATAATATGACACAAGCTTGCACAGGCACCATGTTAAGTCACCCTACAGCTACGTATCATGACATCAAACTTCGCAACACAGCTTTACATTACACCACACTGTATAACATATATTGCATTGCATTGCATTACTTAACACTACATAGCAGTACATAGTCTTGCACGGCGTTTTCGTTGCACGACAGTGCATACAGAACATGATGCCACATGACACTACAGTATGCTACAATACACTTACACCACATCGCACTATACATGAGATAATACACATTGCATTACAGTACATTACTTCACATTACATTTCATCACATACACAGCCCCCCCCCCAAACAAAAACAAACATATGGACATAATTTTGGGTTGGTCGTTTCGATGGGCTGCACGGAGTGGCTGACATGAGTCCTGAGCCCTAAGCCTTTAACCTACTAGCTGGGAATTTCGGCTACTAACGAACAGTTGGAAAAGGGCCCTCAGACAAACACAAACAAAACAACTCATGTCACTAATTGCTGACAGTTCTCTTAAACACGAAAGAGCCCGACAGATCCTTGAAGAACTCCATTTCATCCCTGCGGAAGCCGGCGTCGACTGGAGAAAACGCCTCGTACTGCCCTGCCATACGAGCGCAGTGTTGTTATAGCATTTTGGCGCGCCGTTTAATTTTGTAGCACTTTTGGTTCGTAAGGCTTTAAGGGCTGCAAAGGATGTCAGGACCTTTCGGACTGCAGGGTCTGAGGGAAATGCAACCAAACACCCTGAACCTCGCCACCGGGGCACCCACATAAATCAAGGCCCTATAATTTGACGTGTATTTCTGGAAGGAACCTTGGAAGAGCGACCTCAGGCTTTTGGCGACTGTCAACACCTGGTGATGGATGCCTAGCCTTTTGAAAGGCATAGACTTGCCGGACAATTCTGGCAAGATGACTCTAATGCAGAACCCTAGTCGAAGTGCAAGCTATTCTCGGAACAGCTTCTCGAGGCTTATTCCAGGGAGGTGACAATGGCAAGTGGAGCTATCCATGACAGGGGTGCATATGGCTTCTGTTGGCCTCTGTACTGTCCATTCCCCGTGACGAAGAGAAAGCTGTGAATTGAGCTTGAAGGCTAGGGGTACACTGTTATGTACTATACTACAATACTAAATACTTCCCAACAGCCTCTGACACAACCATCATCAAGGATGAATACGATGACAACCCACTCCACGAGCAGAAGTTAAGGACGCGGCTGAACCCTACAGCTGAACCTTGGGCCCTACAGCACGCCCTGAACGTTTAAAGAATCCTAAACCGAGCAAGCAACCGACCTGCTAAACCCTAAACCGCCTAAACCCTATAGACCCTGAACTTGAACCCTATATAACCCTAAACCCTATTCAACCCTGCCATCAGACGAAACGCTTGCGCCGCACACTCGACGCCTGGGCGGCAGCTGGGAACAGTCTCCGGGGCCTCGAGGCCCAGAGTCAGGGTTTGGGGTTGATGGTTTGATTTAGGGTTGAGAGTTTACAGCGTCAGATTTTGGGTGTCGGGTGAGGCTTAGAGGGTTTAGGGCAGGTTTTCGGGCACAAGGGTGTGGGGTTTAATGCCTGGTTGATTTGGGTTTTACGGCTTGGGGTGTGGTGCTTGGGGGTTTTGGAGTTGAATGATGGCGGTCAGAATGAGGTTGAAGATGGTGGTCATGATGACGATAAGAATGCGGGCATGGCTAAGGGCCATAATCATAATGCTGGCCATGTTGTTGATGATGATGATGATGATGATGATGATGATGATAATTTCAATCCCCTGAACCTAAGCCCCAAATCCGTAAACTATAGAACTTAAACCCCCAGACCTTGAACCCTAGAACACCCAATCTTACTCTGACATCCCTAGTGTACCTGCGACTTGCGTCCCCGAAGTTACTCTGAATCAGTCATCTCCCTCAGTCTCTGGTGACTCTAATCCGTGTTCCCCTTCTGAACTGTTGCCACCTTAACGAGGAGAGTAGGGTTTGGGGGTATGTGGTAGGTTTTAGGGTTTAGGGTTGGGGGTGTATAGTAGGAACCATGACGGAATAGTATTGTTAATCATGCAGGCTTCTATGCTACTCGATCCCATTCCCTGGACCTTCATGTCTTCATCCGCAAAGCACTGACTCTGCAATCGCAGTAGAGTCATCCGAAAATGCTGCGCGCTGATGCCCGAACCCGAGGCCGTAAAGTGAAACACTGAAACACTCGCAATTTGAGGATCCTGGTCCTAGCTAGGTTGAGGGCTGATTAGGATTTGAGTTTAGGGTTCAGGGACCCCAAATCTCAGAAAGCTAAACCTCAGTGCGAACTCTAAAGTGCTAAGGCTAGGTCCACCCAGTTGACCTTCTTGCCCTGTCTTACATTGATTCTCCTGATTCAAGCTGGTTGAAGCTGAATCATGGGAAGAAAGGGGAGGATGGAGCCGTACTAACAATTGATATTGTGGGAGCTAAGGAGCCAGCGGGATGATGATAATCCCTATTAAATCAGGAGCTAAAGAGCCAAGGGAACCCCGAAAACCACTGGTTAGCTTACCAATAATTAGACTATGGCATGCCGGGATACTTTTACCTATACCCCCAAAAGTAGGGAGAATAATAGCCCAATACCTGTAAAAGGCCATTATTCTACATATTTTGGGGGGTTCCAGGTACTTTCTAAGGAATCCGCAAGGCCAGTATTCCCAATAATTCAGGCTTCCTTGTTACACGGATTGTTCAGGGTATACCGGTGACCGTAGGAGACTTGACCCGAAGCATTCTACATCTTTCACTTCTGCTAATCACAGAATCTTAAACCCTGGCCCCAAATACTCTCCTGTTTCTAGGAGAGGGAGGGGAAGAGGGGGAGGGGGGATATCCCATCCTAACCCTGAATATATCAAAGTTGGGACTCCTAAAGCCTGAACCCTAAACCCTAAGAACCTGCGCATGAGCCCTAAGCAGATTTTAATCGCTTCAAACCCTGATGAATCCTTCGGGGGTTCAAGAACAGAAGATATCAGAATCTCAGAATCTCGAACCCCAACCCTAAGCCCTCAAACCGAAACACGAAGCCTTTCGTTACAAGACCTGAGCCTTGCAGGCTTTGGCTTTTATTCGTTTGCTTATCAAGCTTTTGATCGCAGGTGTAGCTTTGGTGTTTTGAGACGGCGTCCACTTCGTCGGCTACACTTGCTGACAAGTCCAAGAGAGAGCACTACGCCACGCGACAAAGCTAAAGAAGCAAACCCACCGGCTACAACAAGAAGTTTCTCTTCTTCGCTCAGAACTTGCCCAGTCTGGCAACACCACGTCAAAGAACGAGCCCTCAGAAGACAAGCCGTCAGAAGACAAACACCTGGACTTCTTGAAGGTTGGAGAAGGACGTGATCCGTAACCCTTGTAGGAACCCTTAGAGTACCCTGTGAAGTAACCTTTCAAGGAAACCATTATGGTGCACACACTAAAAGACTACAAGCACCTAAACCCTAAACATCACTAACCCTGAACCTTTCTCGCATCACCTAAGTGAGACCCAAGTATCGCAACCTTTCAAAGAACTTCCTATAGTGCCCTTTCATAAAAACCCTCAAACAGGAAGTTTCTATGGTACTCCTTATAGTCGCCTTCAAAGGCAACACCACGAGTATCCCTTCATTTATGGGAACCCTTAGCCCCCTTAGAGGAACCCTTCTCGTACCTTTAACCCTCAACCCTACAAATCCCTCAATCAAGGAATCAGAAACCAAGAAGATGATAACCTAAACCCTGAACCGTTATAAATCTTATGGACCCCTAAAGTTTCCTTCATGGGAACCCTCTCAGGACCCATCCTCTGCTACCCTAGCCTCTGCCAGTGACCAGCCGGGCCCGGAGAGCTCGCAACCAGCAGCGCCCCCTGATACAACGGAGTACAGCTACTACTCGAGCTCCTTGGAGCAAGAGGCAGCGAGGCCAGCCGTAGTAGCCAAGGCGCACCTGAGCAGGAAGATGACTCCAGCTCGAGCAGCCCGCGAGATGGGAAAGGGGCCCGCCCCTCCCGGCCATGTGATGCCGATATGAGCGCATGGTCAAGACGGCAGGTGAGGAAAACAACTGCCATACCCGTCCCCTCTCCGAGCGAGAGTTCAGGCAATGAGGGTCAGCGTTCCCCAACGTCACCGGCGGGAGCAGCTGGAGGGGAGAAAACCCCTCCACGGGAACCTGCCCAGGCCCCGTGTGGACCCGCCCAGCACCTGCCCCGCCTACAGGGGCCCTCCAAGACGTAAGCAGCTTCAGTAGCCCTGAACCCCTTCTGAAGGCACCCTGAAACCCCGCCAAAAGAAACCCTTAAAGCCCTAAGCCCGAAAAACCCTAAACTCTTGAACCCTAAACCTTAAACCATCCAAAAACCTAAACCTTATAAACCCTCAACCCTCCAAAACCCTAAACCCTCCTAAACCCTAAACCATCCTAAACCCTATAAACCCCCCAACCATAAGCCATCCTAAACCCGAAACCCTATAAACCCTCCTCCTAAACCCTAAACCATCCTAAACCCTATAAACCCCCCAACCATAAGCCATCCTAAACCCCAAGCCCTATAAACCCTCAACCATAAGCCATCCTGAACCCTAAACCCTATAAGCCCCCAACCATAAGCCATCCCAAACCCTAAGCCCTATAAACCCTAAAAAGAAGCCCCGCCCAAGAGGTGGCCCAAGCCTCGCCTGTCGCGGCCGGCTTGGTGAAAGCAGCCGCAGAAGCCGCCGAAGCCGAGGCGAGCCCTGGAATTTTCCGTTTGGGGCTTAGGGGTTTAGGGTTTAGGGGTTTAGGGTTCAGGGGTTTAGGATTTAGGGTTCAGGGGCTTAAGGTTTAGGGTTTAGAGTTTTATGGTTTGTTTGTTTTGTCGGACATGCTCGGGCAACTGTGGGTTTTAAGGTTTCGGGTTTTTAAGGTTCAGGGTTTAGGGTTTTAGGGGTTTAGGTTTTAGAGTTTTTTTCCTTTCGGACTTGCTCGGGCAACTGTGGGTTTGCAGGTTAAGGGTTCTAAGGTTTAGGGTGTAGGGTTTTATATAAGGTTTAGCGTTTTAATGTGTGGATACCTCCTAGCTTCTAAAAAACCTCCAAAACCTTACCATAGAACCCAATATGACCCTTTAGCATCCCATGAAGCCATTGTCGAACCCCATAAAACCCCCACGGAAAGGAACCTAAAGCCCTCTATAATCTTCAGTGCCATTGGGGCATGTTCATGGAAGGTGGTTTCTTGTGGTTGGGCCCAAATATACCAACATACGAAAAATGCGGAAAAAATACGAAAACCTACCAACACATACACAAAAATACACAAACATACCAAAACGTACAAAAACATACAAGAAAATGCCAGGGGCAAACGAAATAATACCATAGACAATCGAAAACAAACGCTCGTCGAATCGCTATGTTACCATGTCTTGTCGGGGGATCTGCTGTGTCGTATCTATCCAAAACTATAAGTAACTACATGTAAAGTCTCATGTGTCAGTAGAACAGTTGATTGAACCTCCTGCAAACCGCCTGCCATCTCAAGCTCGTTTGGCCTCCACGTCGTGATCTATGGGAGCACCTAGGCCAAACCAAGTGATGGGTAGGGGCGTTTAGTGTGTCAAAGCTGCGAGAAAAAACCACCGCAAAAAAATCGGGCAGCATTTCCTTTGCCAGCTGGCCTGTTTCAGGGAAAAGAAATCACACAGACCGACAATCCAGATTTGTATTTTTATTGTTTTTAGTTGTTTTGGTATTTTTTCCTTTGTATGTTTCGTATCTTTTTGCATTTTTTTGTATTTTTTTGTATTTTTTCATATTTGTTCGTGTTTTTTAGTATTCTTTTGTATTTTGCTTGTATTTTCTTGCATTCTGCTCGTATTCTTTTGTACTTCGCCTTTATTGTGTTGTATGTTGCTTGATGTTTTTGCTATCTCGCTTGAGTGTTTTTGCATGTCGGCTGCATTTATTGGCTGTCTGTTAGCTGCTTTTGTCCTCTATGCTGAGTTTGAAGCCTACGACCCATGCTGAGTGTTGCAAAACTATCGAAGACTAATCCTAAGTTGTTTTCTGTGTCTGTGAGTGTCTGTATGCTCTCTTGGGCAACAAGGCAGAAGTTAACTTACCGTCTTAGCGGCATATCATCGCGACTGCTCGTCCGGATTCGTTTCTCGTCTGATGTGTGCTTAGACGTTTGAGCATTCCTGGGCTTGCATTGAACACTGATTTTCTGGGATTTTGGAAATACTTTCTGGTATTCGCGTAATATTTTTTGTATGTTGGTGATATTTTTTATATGCTGATCGTATTTTTCGATATGTTTTTGTATTTATTTGTATGTTTTTGTATGTTGTAAAATACCAAGAAACACCCTTCTATGAACACGCCTTGATGGTTCTATTGATATGACACTCTAAGCACACTATAAAAATCCGTGTGCAAAACCCTATGAAACACACCACCGTGAAACCCTATAAACAACACAATAGATCCCTATGGACAGATTTCCCTAAACCCGAAACCCTAAACCCCTAAACCCCTACACCCTAAATCTTGAAACCCTAAACCCCCAAACCCTAAACCCCCAAACCCTAAACCCCTAAACCCTCAACCCCCAAACTCTAAACCCCTAAATCCTAAACCCCTATAGGTTTTTCAAGGGGGTCGTTGTGTTCATCGCGGGGCAGTGTCAGGCTCGCTACATCCAAAGTATTATAAGGGTTCCGTTGGGTTCGGCTATTTTGTCATGCGGTTTAGGATGCTTCACATTTAGCGTAATATAGTGGCCCACATACTTATAGGCTTTTGCGGGATGCTAGAACGGGTTTATGGGGTTTTACAAGATTGTGAGTTCTGCAGGACATGGTTTTGGGGCCTGAGCAGTTAGAAGACTGTATGTGTATATTCAGACCGCTATATTAAGGGTTTGGGTTCTGGCTCTTCATGCCATCACTCATAGCTCTATAGGGACTCGCATTGGGTCCCGGACACGTGCCAAGGGACTCATATCTTGCGGGTTGAGTTTTTTAGGGTGTGTGGTATCTCTATGGAGTCATTTTTAACGGGTGTGAGGGTTTTGAGTTGAGGGTTCTTCTAAGGATTTTTTGCTTTTCGGGGCTTCCTGTATGCGACCCCCACATTATTAGGCGCACAGGCTCAAACTAGGCCGAGGACGAACCCCAAGCTCTAAACCCTTTATATAAACGCTCATCCCTTTAAACCCCCTGTGAACTTCTAAAAGCCCCAAACCCTGTGGTCTTCACCCTGCAAACACTCAACCCTCTAAACCCTATGAACTTCTAAAAGCCCCAAACCGTAATGTAGGAACCTGATTAAGAAACCTTGGGCCTTTATTAGGGTTCCTTATATAAATCCTACTATTTTGGGTTATAGTCCCAGGGTTTCTTATTCAGGTTCCTACATTATGGTCCTTGCTCCTTGCCCTTTCCGTGCAGGAGGCTCGCCGGGCAGCTGAAGCTGCGGCCGCGGCGAAGTGGGGGACCTGGGTTCCGGCCGCAGTGGCCCACATCGCCATTAATCAAAGAATATGAAGATATGTAGGGGTACTATATAAGGGGGCGCTTTAAGACTTTAAGCGTTCTCTTTGGTCTAGGGTTTTAGGGTTTTCAAAAAGGGAATATAGATTCCCGATTCAGGGAAGGATGCCTGTATGAGGGTTTGGGTTGGGGGGTTTCTCCCGAAACCCTTTGAGGGTTTGTGCAGGGTTTTAGGGGTTTAGGGTTTAGGGGGTTTTACGAAGGTTTAGGATTGATGGAGTAAATGGTGATTTGGAGTCGGTGGCTTCGAGGGCTTGGGCTTGAGGACAGCTGAAGCTTCTTCGGCTGGTGGAAACAGGACCTTGCACATCCGGTTCTTCCGGATTCATTGGAATATCGGAATTATCCAATAGCCTGTCGCAAAACATCGTAAAACCAAGCTCCATCCACCTAGGAAAAGCAAAGCAACGCAGACCTTGGTGGGTTTCGCGGGTGTGGGGGTGTTTGGGGCTCGTTGGGTTTCAGATTTGAGGATGTTTTGCGGGCTCTGGGTTGCGGGGCAGGGGGTGTGGAGAGTGTAAGCATAACAGAGCCTTGGGTCACAGGGTTTCCTGTAAAGTGTCCTTAATTCTAGGATGCCAAAGCGGGGGCATTTAGCTTTCAGAAGAAGCCACAAAACTTTCCGGCAAAACAGCAGAACCTGTGAGCATACTCGCTGTGAGCATACTCCTTAGCCCCTTCTTCCACGATCGCCATCCCTCGCGAAATCGGGCAAGGACACACCATCCCATTTCAGCCCTGTAAGCCCCCAAAACAGGATCGACAGACAAGGCCGTGTAGCGTAAATCTGAACAACAAAACCCTTGGAAGCCCGAAGCCCTTCGGACTAAAACCGCGAACGCTTGCAAACCCGAAACCCCCAAGACCAAACTCTAAAGCGCCTGCAAGCGTCCAAACCATTAAAAACTCCGAATCCTCCCAAACCCTAAAGCTAAACACTACGCAAGCCAAACCCTAAAGCCCTAAAGCCCTAAAACTGTATCACCCTAACCCCTACACCCCCAAGCTCTTCAATTCAAAGAGACGAACAGAGGCCTGAGAACGACCCAAAATGGCAGGAGGCGCGGGTGAGAAGAGTTCCTTTCACCGGTTTCGGGTTTGGGGCTTTGGGGTTTAGGATTTTAGGGTTTTGGGGTTTAGGGTTCAAGTTTTGGGGTTCTAGCGTTTAGAGTTTAGGGTTTTTAGTCTTTACCCCTACATGATCTCCAAAGAGACCCTTCTGTGACTCCACTTCGCCATGTAGTTAGGATACACGCCAGGGCTTTCAGGGTTTGATCAGAGGGGCCTTGGGGAGTTCTTACATCAAAGGGGAAAAGGTGGGGACCCTTAATGGGGACCCCTACCCTATAATGGGCTATATAACGGGTACAGAATAGCTATATTAAGGGCCTTGGCGAGTTAGTACTTACCTTTGGTTAGTAGGGAATGGAAGAATGGTAGTAGTGGTAGTTAAAATTGTACCCTATTCCTCCATTTCGCTACTAACCACTGGGACTTCAGGGACTGGGGCTGTAGGGTTTATATAGGACTAAGTTCTGGCCCCTTCATTCCACATTTCCGCCGGAAAGGCTGCAGAACTCGTGGACGAAGTGGCCGGTCGGCTGTGTGCGCCTGAGCTTTCTGCTCACCTCATCCGGCCTGGGTTGCATAACAGACCCTAATCTAAATATCTGGCTCTGTAGCCTCGTGAGACGCAGCCTCATT